AGTAAAGGTAGACTTAACTCATGAATTTCCTTAGTAAGTATCTGTTAATGTAATATTGTGGTATCTACCACAGCACTAAACGGAACAAATAATATTTAGGGCAGAACGTTTATTGGCAATATTGGAGCCGGTCTGTTGTGGACTTGTACAAATATATTTTGTTATGAAGTCGCTCTGAATTGGTGGCACGTGAATAAATCATGGTCACTAATAAAACCGTGACGTTTGGAATCTAGACAACCATTTTTATTACGTTTCCCAAAGTGTTAGGTTTTGTGATTATAACAAGTGATGAACTGAAATTAAATTTTTGTTTTGTATAATAAATCTAAGCTAGTTGAAAAGAAGTGCCAAACTGCCAAGTTCCTTTAAGAAAACATAAATCAACTGAGAATCAACATAAACTCATAACAACAACGTACAATTTCCAACAACAACATGCGTTAGATTACACATTTGTTTGTAGATGTAACTTTAAATGAAGGATATTTATTCGTTCCCTAGAAGATTGTCGAGTTCAAGCTAATGATTTACCTTTAAAACTTCCCTGAACTCGTTATTTTATCCTGTCAGTAACAAAGCTGTAATTAAGATAAGTTTCGAAGGCCATTACTCTAACTCGATAGTTCACCATAAGGGGAATGAACCACTAAGTACTGGGAACTGTTTAATTTTAATGTATAATTATTATGTAGGTGTAGATACGAAATTATATTGTTTGTTATTCCTGTTTCCTGTAACGGTAAAATAAATAAGATAAGTTTTATACCGTAGTGGAAAATATATGAAAAAGTCACGATCTATGAAAGGCGTTACAGGCTTTAGGGGCTGGTTGGACATCCAATATCTTCACTCATACAACATAACGCAAGTGTTATATTACACGCTGGTTTTCTGTGGTGGTATCACTTTGGTCGATCCATCATTTGTGGCACACCACGTAGAAAAGTTTTTTTGCAAAACAAAATAAGCAAGAAAACGAATTCAAAATATTTCCTTACAAGAAAACCAGCGTCATTTTTAGGTATTCCACGATATTCACGGTTAAAAGTCAGGTAAATCATGTTACAGATATTTCTAGCACTAGGAAACGAGATATAAGGTGTAAAAATATCCGCCACAATAAACTATACATCCAGTGTATCATGGTCTCGCTCTGTGTTATTTTTCCGCATATTCAAGGGTCTATTTATACTGGTTTTGTATGACTTGATGTGTAAGTGTGTACAATAGGTCGGAAATGGATTCGTGGTGGCGTGGGCGATAAGTATAACTGTATCATCAGTTCTGTATTGCAGTGTAAAGATAGAGGCTGTATGGTGGAGTTTTATATAGTTTTTGCTTTGTGTTAGGAGAAAGAAAAATTGCGGTTACAGGTACATTTGACTGCACGATTGGCGCGGTGGATGGATGCTGCGCAACGTGTATCGGGTTAAATTCCCGCACGGAACAATTCTTTGTTTGATCCACAGGGTTCCGGGTCTGGGTGTAATGTGTATGTGAACTTGTGTATTTATTATGTAGTGTTAATGATCTCATGTAGAATAATAAAATGATAAGTATTGGAGTGCAATATTAAATTGGTATGTAAGTGGTTATTGTAGTATTTGATAATGTTTCTGTGCCATATTGAGGTAATAAGTTAAAAATATTTTAATTTTTTTTCTTTTGTAACTTTAAAACAAATTCATTAAACAAATTCATAAATATATGTAAGAATTGAAATAATTAAATTATTGCATTAATTAAGAATATTATTTTGTAAGTAGAGTAAGTACATTTGCGGTGCCCAAAAGGGCCTATAGTTGGAACATATTTTGTCAAAAATTGTAAACCACCCTGTACACACTATACATGCATTAAAGTGATTTGAATTTGAATTTGAATTTGTATGTTTGTAAACGCACATACGACACAGGAGATAATCCTAGTGTGGGGCAAAGATTTTTTTTTTTTTATAAATAAAAAAATACATGTCTGTGCGATTAAACAGTTGTTGCTTATAAATAGCCAAATATCGAGAAGGGATGTGTGCAATGAATTTTGTAGTATGTAGGTATAATCATTTTTACCAACAGTACTAAATATCTAACAATATATATGTTTTCATTGGAACGAAAAAAGAAAGGAAATATTTTATATCAGTAAATCCCTTTTATTTAAAACAATACATTAAATGTTTTAAGATTGAACCACTAAAGCAGTCAAGAACAATGTTACTAAATAATGTGAAATGATTTTAAACTTTTAGACAATTTCAAAGTTGTTTAAAGTTTTTTAAAGAAAAATCTTCAAGTTTCTTGTAAAATTTATATTAATATTAAGCAATAAGTGGCGATGTATTTGAGTGCTCTCGTAGCTGAAAGTATTCCTATTAGAGTCTGGACGGTGCACGTTAGGTAGCTATTTAAAATAAATTAAACCATCTGTCGTTTCTGTTTTTTACCAAATTATTGATAACTGAAGAATTGTAATTTTCGTATTTCATAATTATTTATTTAACCAATTACTTTTTTACATTGATTACATACGTATAAGCGATAGTTAGTTACTACAATTTCGAAGAATTTACGTTCAACAATTTCTGTTAGCAGTCAAAGAATCAATTGAAAAAAATAAAGTCTTTCGACCAGGCATCTATGATCTCAAAAAGATCATGGATATAATACGGGTATGCACTTTTAGGGAACAGAGAGTATAGTTCCCTAAGATCGGAAAAGGAGGATCCTCCGACCAGGCGAGGTGATCGTGCCTGGCGGGCTTTCTGCCCAACAGTTGTTCGTTGGGATTTTCTATCCGTGTTAAATCCAATGTAAACTTCGCATGTGCGATGTAGGATTTTTATGACGTCATCCGTTAGAATGTACCATGTGTCGCCACACACTAAAAGTACTATACACTAAAGGCTATTTATTAAATAACTTTAAGTATCATCGCTTCATCTATATTTTCAATTACTGCTTCTATAACAATATCGCGACTGGATCGGCGACATCGCAATACATCGTTACTTACTTCAAGTATTGTATATTTATACTACACTTACTGTAAAATGGCCACTGTTAACCGACTTAATAAAACAGGTGAATTATAAAATCTATGTCTCTATTTGAAGGTCGATGTCCTAGGTATTACTTAAGTCATTGAAAAAGAAATTGTAAAAGCTATTTCCAAAAATAGTCACCAAAAACTTTTTCAATAAAATTAAAGTTCACAGTTCTCGTTCAAGAATAATTTTCTTTAACCGCACTTTCCTTACAATCATTTAAAACTGTACGTAAAACAAACATTAAGAAGCGACTAGGAAAGAATTCAATAACGTTTTTCTTAAGAAATAATAATCCATTAGGAAGGAGGCTCATCTTAATTAAGCAATGAATCTTAATTCTCTGGAGGTGGATGGAAACCAGATGGCAGAAACAATGCTTACATTTTTCTCAAAAACATTTCTTGCTGAGGTCTAACTTTTAATGAGAACTCCTACAATTAGTGAAATTGTTACGTACTAAGTTATTAGACGTTGGTTTTTTCTAGTTTCTCTTCAGTGCCTGTAGCCAAATCCCACTAAAGTACGTGACAACCGAGAGTAAAAAAACTCAATATACCTATGGGGATGACATAGATAAGGTGTCCAAATCTATGTCAATCCCATATCATTTCATTTTCTGTCCTATGTCTAATAAGCGCTAAATGGTATTAGGCTCAAAGAACAAGTTACTTCAATCAACTTCCTTGCAGCTATTGTTAGGTTTAATTGAATGTATATACTGTGTTCATGTATTTCCGATAAGTATAATCTTATGTAAAACTTACTCAAAATGCCTAAGAGGAAGCATTTAATTCAAAGAAAACCTGATAAATTACAAATTGTAAATACAAATCAAACAAATTAAGAATCACTGTTAATGAAGTAATAATATCACAAATTATATGTGTGTCAACCAATCCACAAAGGGTGTTTAATTCGAGAAGGTTCTGGTAAGGGTCATACGTACCATTGAACACCAATTTGAAGCTGTGGATAGAACTTTGTCTAAATACCGAGAACAGTTCATTTGTAATTCAAATTGGCAATCATGAGAGATGAGTAAAGGTGCTTTAAGAAGCCTTTTAACACGTTCTATTTCTTTAATTCAAATGGATATATTTATTTATTACCTACTTGCGCGCGGTTAATCGTAGCGTGGTGAAAAGAGATAATCTTTATTTCAATTTTTTATATGAAAATCTCTTTTAAAACATGTTCTTAAATGATATTCTTTAACAGGTTTAGTGACGTTTCTGTAGGGAAAAAAGGAAGTCTACAAATCTATTTTAAACGGTTAAGACATAGGGTTCCGGAATCCGTATTACATTTGACTACACCCCTAAATGTTTGATAATATCTCACACAGTTCACTGATCCGCTCGAACATAAATTTTTGCAAGTTACGCCTTCGGTAAAGCTACGCTTTTTAAATTTCTTTTATCAACAAAATAACCAGTTGTTAGGAGGTTATTTTCGTAAAGCACTATTAAAATAACAGATACAAAATGTAGAATGGTCACTAGTGCGAGCAAAGGCGTTTTAGGGTTTTTAAAAAGTAGTCAATTGAAACACGAAGTTCAGAATTGTCCACCACAGATGGAACCCACTAGAGCTGATGCCGATACGGAGCCGTGGAGGATTTAATGGGTTGTCGAAGTTCTGGCTCGAAGAGTAGAAATAGAAACGGGGAAGTTTTTAGTCAGTCTAGTCCAGAGTCTGGCATTGGACGACCCCCAAACCCAAGTGTATACCTGCCTATATTTTCAGAGATTTGAAAAAAAAACATCTTTCAGTAGTGATACAAAAACAAAATGTATTAAATTATCATTAATAATATTGTAGGTCACTTCTTAATGAACCGAGTATAGAACAGTAGTGCGCTCAAGTTGCATATTGCCAAACGTCAGGATTTATTGCAGTACATGCATATAGCCTAGACCGTAGGCCTTAGCACTATAAAAGGACTAAACCTAGGTGATCTAGGTACACAGTCGAACAGTATCGACGGATTAACACACAAACACACATTCTACTGTAAAATGTTTAAGTTGGTAAGTTTATTTTTATTAATTTATATTAGTAGTTTAAGTTAATAATTTATTACGATCTATCTAATGTGTTGAATTTGACTATGTATATTTATATGAGTTAGCTACGGCGATTCTGATTTTTAAGAGTCTAATTTTCACATTATATCTTAATGAAATACCCCTTTCTTTCTTTTATCCTTAAAATTAATTTATCTCAAAGTATATGAATTACTTTTCCAACTAATAATTTGGTTTGAAGTTTCAATAGAGAAGTTTCAAATTCAAATTCACTTATTCATTGTAGATCACTTTTTACCCATATATTCAACACCAGAAGATTGATTCTTAATTTAAAACCAGCAATCTGGATACCGCCGTTGTATTATGTCTAATTCAATTATGATTGAAAATATAATAACAATTATCATTTAAATATCAAATAGTTTATGTAATAAAAATAGTTATTCTTCACGTTTAATATAGATCGGTAGGTTCTATATACAATATTTAATATTGACAACGTCTTTTAATATCAACAACACATTTTCCAGAAATGAACCCAATTAAGCAATCTGAGTGTTACTTAAACACCAAGTAATTTAATTTAAATAGATAATCAATGGAATTCTCGCAACGTAACCTGGTATTAACGTTTTGTATTTCACCATCTATTTATATCCGTAGTTTCATGAACCCATTGAACTGCCTGAAAATAACCGGATAGTAAATAATAATAGCGAAGGTTCTGAATCAACAATAGTTTGTGTAAAAGCTTATCTATTGATATTTTATTCAGTTTGTAATTGACTGAACAGAAACAGAACACGAAATGGATCGGTCAATAAGCTTTTGAAATATGGTGGATCAAAATAGTTGAAAACTGTTTCGTCAAAAGGACCAAATTGGTCCTTTTTCAGTGAAGTCTACAATACACAAATGTGAAACGACTGCATAGTTATTTTATTACGCTTAGTAAAGTTTTCGTTAACTCTGACACATCTCTTATTGCCGTAGACAGGAGACTTTCAATAATTGCCTAAACTATTTCATAACAATTTTTATTGCCCTTTTGGTCAAATGGCCGCCAGCGCAACTACTAAGCAAGAGTTTTGGCTTTCAGGTCACCCAAACACTCAATATGCAAAACTACTTTTTTTAATTTCAGGCCATTCTCTTCGCTTTCATCGCGATTGCCCATGCTGGGGTCATCGCTCCCGTAGTACCAGCTCACCCGGTAGTGGCCCATCATGTAGTGGCCCCTGTCCACACGGTGTCCCACAGCGCAGTGGTACACCCGGCTCCCATCGTACACGCCCCAGTGGTACACGCGCCTGTGGTACACGCGGCACCTGTGGTACCAGTCGTCAGACACTCTCCAATCATCGCAGTGCATCATCATTAACACCACAAAAGTTGGTTTTTGAAGGCATGAGATGTGTAAAATTGGTGTGAATCATTATTAAATTATTTTTTGAGATATTTTGAGCTTTTCTTTTGCTTTCCGTTGGTTTTAGTTAGTGCGGTGGCTGCTTTCTCTCCGCTTTTTTTAAATTAGCGAATCAAAACGAACATTTTCGAATTTGAGAATTTACTTACTTACTTAGAATAGTTAGTTCGTTAATCTGTAAATAATTTCATTTGTTTACAGGCTGTTAATTTTCATACTTTACTTTCATAACTATTTTGATGGTTAGACATTAAGCAAATAGCGAATAGCCACGGAACTATACAAGACAAATAACTTTATGACTGACAAATAACATAAAACTGATTGAAACTTCCGATGTCATTACCCGAAGACTAGTTTAACAAATTTTTGTTTGTTGTACTGTTACAAAAATATGAGTTATACTTTTGTTCTTATTACTTGAAATAGAACTATTAAAAATGTACACTGGCATAAATGTAAAATTAAAACATCGCATCGATTTCGTACACAGAAAGTCATTTAATGTTTGAGAAAAGACTAAGGGAAATGTACTATGTAAAGAAAAGAACCCACAAAATTAAAATAAACCCATCGCTAGTGCAGTGAACCTTGAAAAAGAGTGAGATTTTTATCGTATTATGAAAATAGGCTCGGATCGTACATCAAAGGAGATAGCAGAGAAGATTTATGTACCATTTTATTTCAACTCCCCAAGTGTCAATGACATGGGATGTAAATAGTTGTGCGGCGTCATCTGCAGGCTCTGCTTAGCATAAACACCTATATCAGGACCATGGGTTTGTGGGAACTACGAATATAAATATCCACTTATTTGTATTACGGCCCCTATTTCTTATACAGTTCTCAATTTCTAAATAAATAGCTTATAATTAAACACTGTCGTATCTAAGCACGCCTATTCACTATAACTAGTGTTGAAAGCTATAAAACTCGAAGTAATATAGATACAGTTAGTGGCTGTATGCAAAGCCAGATCTTCCCAGACAATGAGTAATGCAGGCAATAAAACGAGACTATCCTTGAAACCACTTTATTATCCACCAAGAACTTCGATCGCAATCACCACACAAAACCTTCTGAGAGATGCATTGTACTCCTCTTGAGGGCTTTTACGTCCTAATAAAGTGTATCTTCAAGGATAATTACTGGGGGAGGCGGCAGGAGTATTGGCGCTAATCCCCCTTTTGTATAGAGTTCTTTATAGACCGCCGTTGGACGTTAATGACCCATGAGGAGAAAGGCGTAAGGGCCATCCCTGATTTCGGACGTAATGCGGATATTAGGACCGTTTTGGGATAGAAAGGAATACTAATTGATGAATGGGTTTGGTCTGATATTTTCTATTATCTTAATTGCAGCACATTTTCGGGGTTATTGAACCAGGAGCCCACGTTATTGATCATAAATATTGGGCATCATAATTTATGTCCCTTCCCATATTGGTATTTGTTTAGTATTTCGAGTAGCTCTGTACTTTTGTAGTGATATATATGAATCAAATTACTTGTATCAAGATTCTGGAATAAATTGTATGTAGCTGTTATAGAGGAAAAATGAATTTTCATTTTGCATTCTTCATTTTGTATTGAACCGTAGTATCCATAATCCGCTTTGCTCTTGGAAAATGTTAAGGCGCTTATTTGTTGAGGAGTTTATTATCATCATCGGTGTAGTATTTTATATCAAAGTTTTTATTGAAGTAATCGGATTCAACAAAACAATATTTGCAATGTACAAGAAACTATTATAATAAAAGAAATACTTTTATCTACAGGATTATTATATTACCTAGTGCTTGGATTATTATATTTCATGAAAACTTTGAAATCTGAAACCCAATAATAGTTAGTCTAATTCCTCTAGCGACCTCTAGTTTGTAATTTGTATTATATCTATAGACAGAATTCAATGACCTCTGTTAACCTGTACGTAATATAAAGTTAATTATAATTACAAATTGCTTATTAGTATCTATGTGTGTGTGAGTTCCGGCAACAACCTGTGTACATTGTAAACAAAAGTTGACTACCTACTCAATGTTTTATTTTATTTCCGTATCATCGAGTAGAACCTTTGGGTATTCAAATGAACGAACAAAACTTTTAGATTTCGTTGTTTGGTTGTTCATTGTGAATTGGTTGCCTCTTGTTGTGTGTACTTTAATATAAAATTGTTTATAAATTATTATGTTTTCGGCTTACTTAATCCGCGACGCGGCGACTGGCCAGTAGCAGCGCGACAGCCGCCGTGTCGCGGGTCGCGAAATGCTGCTCATGAATATGAGCCTCTAGCATAGCTTGAAACTAGTCGAGTTCCTCGTCAAATAATTACGTGAATAGGCCGAAAACATAATAATTTATTTAGTATGTCTCACGAAAGTTATAATAAAAAATTGTTTATATCTATTGAACTAACACAAAAAACTATATTAGCTATGATACCGATTGCAATGCAATACAATATTAAGCGGCCAAAAAGTATTCCACCAGATCATTAATCCACTAAACACAAAAATGTGCCAAAGACCTAGACCTAACCATTAAATATCCAGCATAAAAGGTATGATAATGGATTTGCCCTGTAATTTATAGATTTCAATACTCAATTAATCAATCATGTCACCTTCTAAAAATTAAGTCTCTAAATAAAGTCTAAAGATCATCACTAGATACTTGCCTACAAGGTAATTCATGTAATTCTCATTACCTTATACAGACCTAAACAGGGATACATAATAATCATGAACTAAATACTTAAAATTACTATGCACTAGCTCTACCTTTGATAGTTAAGTATCTTCTTATAATTGAGGAGGAAAAACTGTATCTAAATGTATACTTCACATACAAAGCTGATGGAAGTAATCGCTATTTTCATTTCTACAAGTGCACTGTAAAGTACTAAAAATTTTCAAACAATGATAAGTTTTTATAAGCAAAATATGAAAATCAATATATTAATATTATAATAGAACCTCAAAAACACCGATAAAACAATCCTATTATGGGACATTAGGCGTAACCTTGAGCCGGCATGGGATCCCTCAGGGTAATACATTAGGCCCAACCATGGGTGAAGCTATGATATCGGAAGTAATGGCTTCCGGATTTAAAGAGTGTTTCTCTTCAAGGTCAATGGAAATTGGAATTTTAAATTAAGAGCAGATCCAATTTTCTGATTAGTAAAATTTTATTACTCAGATGCGAATGTAAAAAATGCTATCTACAAAAGTTTAACATATTAACGTGTACATCTACTTTCTTGTTACTCATTGACAGGTTCATAACTCTCATGTTTACATACAAACATATACAAAAGCAAACTAAAAACCAGGAAACATAATCGTTTTTATTTGTCTTCCAACAAAGTTCTTGTTTGTATGGTAAAAAAGTCATAAACAAGGCAATTTGAAGGTATATTAAGTAAATCGAAGGTCTATAGCTCCACAATATATCTTAGACTCCAAGGACCAACTGACTTCCGTAATAGAAGATGCTATCAAACCATTGCCTTGTATACACGATTACACCTCAAGTAATGCTTAACCAGTATAAACTGACCGTGGAAGGTACTGAAAGATTATAGAAATCCAGACCAAGATACACTGGTTTTGTATAGCTCGATCTGTAGCCTTGTGTAAACAATTTTCTTTAGCTCATGGTCTTAAAGCAACCTTCTGTGATGTCCAGGATTCTAATCTGTATCAAATAATAAACAAAGTCTGTGAGAATAAACACAAAATAGGCGTCGAGATGATATCAAAGGTCACTGTCAAATATTTCTGATAAAATATTGGCATTGAAAAAATATCTAATACTTACGCGATTACAGTACATAATCATGAAACGGTTGTTACAGGGCAGCAAGAAACCAAATTAATATAACTATGAGTGAAATGAACCCTTGTCCACTAACAGTTAAACTTAGTGCCAGGTAAAGGCTCCGAATAAAAATATGAAACATGAGCATAAATATTAATCACAATGTTTGTACACTGACAAATAAGCTTGACAATAAATAAATTAGTTTATACTAATAACTGTCAGCATGAGCGTGGGTATTAAATAGTTCCGACATTTGATTGTTTACCAAAAAATCAAACAATTCAGTAAATATTTTTCCTCTTTACAATAGCCGTATTTATTTCATAACCTTCAACATTTCCCAAAAACAATAAAACCATTTTGAATAGGAGTTCCTAACTAAAGCTATCGTATAAAGGACCCATATAAACAAAGTAATCTCAAAAAATCTGAAGGCCTTGGAACAATATACCAACATCTTTCCAAGGCCTCTCTGACTGACTACCCCAGTTTCTTAATCGCAGATCTTGCTGAGGAAACGATGTTTTAAATATACATTTGTCATAATAAAATGGGAAAAAAGTAGTTTTACGGGGTGTTCGAAGGCCGGAACATTGAGTCAAATCTAAAGGACCTTGCAAAGTTAGTTTAGAGAAGATAGATAGAAGACAATTTTGTACATGAAGGATGAAATTAATGAAATATTTTGGGAGATTAACAACGTATTACATAATGATAGTAACATGATGATGTATTATCTCAAACGTTAAGTAATTGTTGGTTTCGTGATAGTGGAAATGGATGAGGTTACCTAATGGTTGCTTGTTTGATCATAAACCTCAGTTGCGTCATTGTTGGCGAAAACAATTTATCTACTGATGTGTGAGACAGAGCTGAGACGCATGATTCGTCAATTTTAGTTCTTTCGTATCCAGATATAATGACAGCAAATATTGGTTGAAATAATGGTAAAATAAATAAATAATGTTATAAAACAATGACAGCAATTCCAATAAAAAAAATTCTATAAAATATATTAATTTATAACTCGTAATTTGAAATATTTCCGATAAAGGACCTTTCATTAAGATCACAAGAATATACTCAGGAGAATCAATGAGGCGGCTCGTAGACGATCTATGTATAATAATAATAATTAATCAAATTCTCGAGCATTTTCAAAGGGACACTTAATTGGTTTAACATCTACAATAAATTCAGATCTTCGGTTTGTTTGCAGTTAACTATTAAATTCGTGCAAAGACCTTTGAGTTGTGAGTTTTAACTCGATGGCAGTCGTGTGATTGGACGCTCGAGTATTAACTTGTATGATGATTAATATTCAATGTTCGATGCAGTCTAAGTGCCGACTAATTTACAATCCGGTGTGAGTACAATACATACACGAATTGAATTCTCAATCTATTATTTTATTCGACAAAATTTCATTTCATTAAACATATTATTCAGTTGTTTAAACAAAGGTATCTTTTACACACGTAAATCTATTGTTTTCTTAAAAAAGATGTTTTTCTTCAAATCTGTATGCAGATACACGTCCTCTTTTAAATTTAAGAACTGTATAGATTTTTGTGGCATTCAACAAAAAATGGATTGGTTGGAAAATGTAAATAAGTTCAGTGACTCGCATAAAGAATGTTTCTTATTAAAAGATTGCTCAGTTTGGCGGACTTCCATAGATTTAGATAAAAACAAGGGAAGCTAATGTATTGAGTTTCTTCGATATGAAGTTGTTAAGCTTTTAAATGTATTGTCGTTAGGAACGTTGTATTTAATATTTTATTATACATTTCTAGATAAGAATTTTGAATTTAAATCAAATATGTATTTGAACGCAATAGAAAGCCATCATTCATTTTATGAATTCATAAAAGGGGTTTGTACAAAAGACTATTACTAAGATTTCGAGAGCATTTACACGAGGTTCACACATCAATACGTATTCAAATCATATAAGACACAAAAGTTACTGAATGTATCAACCTCAGTACTCAAACACTTGCAGTCAATGACCCGTAATAACACTTTTATTAAACAATTATATCTTAAAATTTTATATTCTTCTTAAAATAGTATCTAATACCTTGGAGCAATAAAGTTTTATTGTTGAAAAGGTAACCCTTGGAGAAGGCGATCTATCATGATCAAGTAGTAGGTGTTTTCTTAGGTAAGTGTCTCTAAAACCGGCTCTGATAAAATGTCAAGTGAATTGTATAGAGATTGCAACGTGTAGGAGGATTTGTTGCCCCCACACGAATTTTGCTAAAGGACCAAACTACATCATTCATTAAATTAATTAACAGTGGCTTCTACCCACATACCACGCGCTGATTAAATTATATGCACACAATATGAGCTAAAATTGTACGCGATAAATGCAGATTAAGTTTATTTTAGCAACTTCTTGTCAAGATGTAGTTAATTTTCATTAACGAACATCTAAACTAAATAGTTTAGTTGCAGCAAAAAGTTAAAAATTTACTTATTAAATCATTACTTATCATTTTATATCCAGTAGAGTGTAGCTTAAAAAAGATTAGACGAAAATGAAAACCCGTAAGTCAGTTTCCCTTCGGAGATTCTTTCGCATCAATCAAAATTCTTAAGGCATTGTTTTTTGTCAGCTGTGGGCAAGTTTGACTAATTTTGGCTCGAAGGACCTTGAGTTGGAATTCTGGTCCTTTCGCATAATAGGCCCTTTATTATAATAAGCCACTACCGGGTCAAGGCTGGCTTCAGGTATTTTTGGGTCGCGTTATGACCAAAAGCATTTTCGGCGCATTCCGGGATATTTTTGGGACAGCTGCAATTTATTCGGCTGTGTTTTTTATCGTATAATATTATGTAGAGAGGGCCGTAAGAATGGGCGAAGGACGTTTTCTAATTTTGGAACGACTGTCTTTTGTGGTATTTTGCAATTGTGTGTAGTTATCTGCAAACCTTGTCTTTTGCTTTTTCATATTTTTATTATAGAGATGAGAAATTACTTGCTAGAGTCAAACTTTTATGATTTCATAGTCATGCATGTGATTTCATTAATAAAAAACCTGTTCTGAAAAGCTAAGGGAAGTTTATTTTATATTTATTATTCAGCAATATTTGACAAGGACTATTTATGTTAAGCAGTTATGGAATAATAACGTTGGACCTCAATCCTAAGCACATATATTTCCCCATAATATAAATTCAAATCGATTAAGAAAACAGAATTGACTTTTACGTACTCTTACGGCAACTGAATGACTATTCCTTTCATGTTTCTTCAAAGATCTAATAATATCGTTTGCTGACATAATTCAAATATAAAAACATCTCGGTACTATAGTCAAAGAAATATCATATATCAGCATTTCCATTCTGCCATTTATTTCACAAGTTTCTTTTTATGGGATGAAAATTACTGATGGGTTTATGCAACTAGAGCAGAATTGGCTCAAAATAATAATGATGACACGGCATGAAGCATTAATAAAATTGCGTTCACGTTTTATAGAATCTTATCTATGCAACAAACAACAGATAATGCCTAGCATAAGTATTTTGAATTTTAGTAAAGTTTCGTAGCATAACATCATCATAACATCACGCCTTTTATCCCCTAAAAGGTAAGCAGAGGTTAAAATTATGCCACTGCCAATGTACCACCCACTTTTCACTATTTATGTTATGAGTTTCACGTAATAGGGGTGAGCCTATTGCCATATACCGGGCATAATTCCAGACTCCTGAGATATTTAAAAAACCCGGGAATCGAAACCGAGACGCCTTGCTCAGAAGTCGCACTTGTGACCATTCGGCCAACGAAGCAGTTTCGTAGCAGTAAGAGGATATAAATAAAGCTAATATAATATTTTTTACAGTGGGTAGCAGATCAACCCATCCTTTTCTGTCAAATTTCTCTATTACATCTTCAACTTTATTGTTTTGACATAAATTCGAAAATCCAATTAATAACTTTGACAAATTGGAGAAGGTTAATATGCTGGCCACAGTAATAGCTTTTCTATGGAGAAAAGTCTTCTATGGAGATTTAAACCAAGTCCATTGAAACCATATTCATTACACGTACACATTTGACGTCATCTGTTTCAATCCTAGACCACCAACCAAATTAATTTTAACAAAAACATAAAAGTAGTTACGTAAATATTTTTGTTTTTAAAAATCATTATCTTACCTGTCTAGTGAAACTGCGACGAGACTGTAGACTGACGCGGCGACTGACAACCCTTGCACGTACGGCACCGTCTTACACATCAGCCAGCCTAGCACCCACGCTGTAACAAAATAAAAACACATTTTAAAAATGAATTCCTCACTCAACTATCTTAGAATATAATGTAATATCTGTTGAGGTGACAGTTTACTTCTGGACTAGTGGATTACTATACAATAGACGATTTAGCATTATCTTCATACTGGGTATGCAGCTTTAATATTATTATACTACTAGCTACTTCCGC